TGGCTCAGCAGCCAAGACCACAGTTGCCAGCCCCCATGTCGGGCAGCCCATAACCCCCACACACCACCCCCACTGGTAACTCCAGCACCCTCTGGACTCCTAGGACACACACACTTTAATTAATCTTTAATTAATGTAAAAACTGTTGTAACCCCAAGAAGACAGGGGTTCTCGCAAACCCTCCACAGCAGAAGCACCAGCAGGCTCACAATCTGCTTCAAGTCTGCTTCACCTAGGTCAATCGGTCGGCCTCTGCTCCTTGCTGCCCCCTTGTGGACGGATGCCACAAGCCGCCACACTTGTGGGTGTGTCCCCCAGGGCCTTTCTCACGATCCTAAAACCATCATTCATGTTTTATTGGAGCTGCTTTAAGTGCTCGAGGCTTTGAAAACGCCAAGTGAAACTAGTTACTCTCTGGGAAGCCTCGAGGGGTGGCTGCCCTCTCCCAGATGGCATATGCCTGGGCAGCTCTCAGAGAGAGTGATGTGCAAACAGACACACTCCCTCCCTCCCCCAGAGACTGCCCACAGCGATTCAGGCCTGAGGAAATGAGACCACAGGCCATGTTAGCCATTCTCTAGAACAACACAAACACCCTGAAATGTCTCTGAAAATGAAATATGTAAAAGGTTAGAAATAGAGGAGTCAGGATGATCTAGATGTTGTAAATCTGTGCTTGGGCAAAGCTTCCAGAGTTTTGATGAGGAGAGCAAGCTCACCATAAACCAGCCTGCCAGAGACTTTAGTCCCCAAGGCAGAAATTATGAGCAGAAACTCATGCCCCCCCCCCCTTTGGCTTTTAGACTATTGAACAATGAACCCCACTGAACTGGAATTTCCCCAGACGTCTCATGCTGGGAGACACGAAATGCTGAAGCCTGGTGCCAGCCTGATTCCGCACAGTTCTGCGGGCCCGAGACTGCCTTGCAGGAGAGACCGGAGCTGAGACTGTGATGGGGTGGGCTTGCATCTTGACCCCAACCGACCAGCTGTGCCCTCCTCTTGCCTGCTCACTTCCTCCCTCGTGCTAAGATCTGGAAGACAGACGGCTTTGTTCCTCCTCCCTGTGTGCCCGTGCTAAAGAACTCTCCTCTAGCTGCTCATCGCTATTTGTCTCTTTTAATATTATGTCTATTGTTGCTGCTGCTGTTGTTATAATTGTTACTTATTTGGTTTTGGTTTTTCAAGACAGAGTTTCTCTGTGTAGCCCTGACAGTCCTGGAACGCACTCTGCGCACCAGGCTGGCCGCTGCCTCCTGACTGCTGGGGTTAAAGGCGTGAGCCACCACGCCGGCTCAGTCATTCCCAGCTGTTATTTGGAGGGCGCACGTTGCCGTGGCCTGCATGTGGAGGCCAGGTCCAACTTCATGCAGCTGGTTCTCTCTGTCCACTCTGCATGAGATCTGGGAATCAAACCCAGGTCGCCAGTCTTGAGTGCAATCACCTTCATTCAGTGGGCTGGTATTATTTGGCTTGAGGACAAGTGGTCAAACCTGGCTCTTAGGAACGCCTGGGGCCAACTCTGACCCCAACACCTCGGTTTTGAGCCCATTGCCCTCTCAGCTCTGCCATGGCCAGGGACTGCTGCAGATGCCCACACTAAGATCCCTCAATCCCACCACCCCTCCCCACGGGGAGACCCCAAGGCACAGGGCTAGCAGGATTCTAGAGGGCAGTGTCTTCCGGATTCTTTCTGCAGGCTCAGCTCATCCTGCTCCTCCCCACTGAGGCAGGATGCACAGATGAGGCAGAGGGGTTTGAATATGCAGGAGAGGCTTCATCCACAGCACACAGCTCTGGAAGGCAGACACGACCTCTTCTCACTACCTGCTGCTGGTAGGGGCCGCTTCAGAGCCCGGGTCTCCTCACAAGTGTACATGTCAGCAAAAGCTGGTTCCCAGGCAGCTCTGCGCTCTGGCATCCATGAGCCACAGACAGGGGAGACGTGGGGGCCCTTTTCCCAGTGGTGTGCTATGAGGTCATCACAGGACAGACATCCGAAAGTTCTCGGTCAGTGTGGTTGTAAAAGGTCTGCTTAGTGGGCGTGGCAGCAGGTGTTCACAATCTCGGGCAGATGGGGGAGAGAGACGGGTGGATCCCCGGAAGCTTGCTAGGCTAACCTAGTCGGGGAAAGCCCCAATGCGAGACCTTATCTCAGACAAAAAGGAAAGGCATCCTCAGCCTCCTTAGGCACGTGCCCGCTCACACTCACACCCAAGTGCCTCTTTGAAGCGGCTTCTATTGATGGGAAAGGCACTGGCCTGCTCTCCTGGGACCACCACAGACAGGTCTCTGGGTCAGTGGAGGGCTGAGGGAAGAGGCACGCAGCATCTTGTGAGGAGGGTCAGGCATCCCTGTTTCACCAGCACCTCTGGGAACAGCAGCCTAGACTTCCAGGCCTCCCAGCACATCCCTCCAGACACTGGCTTCCTGCCTCAGGCTGAGAAGCTTACCCACCTGGGCCCAACTTCTCCAGAGCACCTGGCCCTGGATCCACACACACACCCCTCCATAGCTGCTTACCTAATAACTTGAGGCCAGGGCAATACACGGCACACAACTAGACACCAAGACAGAGACTCAGAAGCAGGAAGTGGAAGGGACAGCTGAAAGGAGGCTCTGGCCAGGCCGTTCCCATGGAGGTTAACTTAAACCTGTATGGAGGACGAGGTGTGGTGGCACACGCCTTTAATCCCAGTCCTTGAGAGAGGCAGAGGCAGGGCCTCTGGGAGTTACAGGTCAGAGCCATGTAATAAGACCCTATCTCGGCGGCTGGCGAGACGGCTCAGCAGTTAAGAGCATCGGCTGCTCTTCCAGTGGTCCTGAGTTCAATTCCCAGCAACCACATGGTGGCTCACAACCATCTGCAATGGAATCAGATTTCCTCTTCTGGTATGCATGAAAACAGAGTGTTTATATACATAAATTAAATAAATAAATCTTAAAAAAAATAAAATAAGATCCTATCTCAAAAGAAAATTGGGTTTGATTCCCACAGTGGCTCTGTGTCCTGCTCCAGGGGATCTGAGGCCCTCTTCTGACCTCCCCAGACACAAGATACCCTGTGGTGCGAGCAAAACACCCACGCACATAAGATGAATAAGTCAACAAAAATAAATTAAGCTGGGGTGGTACACACCTTTAATCCCAGCAATCAGGAAGCAGAGGCAGGCACATAACTGTGAATCTCCAGAAAATAAAATCAAATAATTCCAGTGTTGAGAGGTTGTTTTCTTGTTTTTGTTGTTTTGAGACAGGCTCTCACTCCACAGGGAAAGGTAACTATGTAAACCAGTGTTGGAGAGAGGAGGATGTCCTTTTAGATCCAAGAAGCCCATAGCCTATTAGATGGGCTTGTTTGCTGATTCCTCAGCTACTACCTTCTTCACTAAGAGCAAGAGAACAGGCTGCATTTGTGTCCTGGGTGGACAAATATCTGGGTGACACTAGGACAGCAGTTCTCAACCTGTGGGTCAAGATTCCTTTGGGGAGTCCAACGATCCTTTCACAGGGGTCACCTAAGACCATCATAAACACAAGTGTTTACAGTATGATTCATAACAGTAGCAAAACTGCAGTTATGAAGTAGCAACACTGCATGGCTAAGGGGTCCCCACAACAGGAGGAGCTGCGTTAAAGGGTGGTGGCATTAGGAAGGTTGAGGACCACTGCCTGGGAACTTGGGGTGGCAAGCAAAGCAAAAGCCAGGTACAGTAGGAGCCTGTCACATCGCCTCCTTTAATCTGTTGTGTTTACTGAGCACCCACAGTGTGTCCAGCGCCTCAGGGGTACACACAGGAGCACCGTGCCCAGCCCTGCCTCCCAGGAGCTTACAGTCAGTGGGGCCAGCACCGCCCTGCTGGGAGCCCCTTACTGTCCTCACCCTGATTTTCTTTCTTCCTTTTGTGCCCAGATTCATGGTAGATGCACACGGCGGAGCGGATTAGTGGCTGCCCCTCCCTGCTCAGTCTGTCTTTTTGGCTTTAGTGTCCTGGTCCCCAGCACAGACTGAAGGAGAAGCAACCTTGCTGTGGTGCTCAGCAAACTTGGAGTGACGAGGTCCACAAGTTCTGCCAGTTTCTCTGGCGCACTCACTCCCGGGAACCGAAGGCCCTTCCCTGAGTCTTCGCAGGCTTCTGGGCTTCCAACTTCTGAACAAGTCCTTCTTTGTAGCCTGGCTGCCCGGGTTAGGGAGGAGTTTGCCAGAGAAAGCAGGCAAAGCCATTGGCATTTCGTTCCCTCATCTGCTGGCCCTCCATTCCGAGGCTACCCCTGCAGTCTGTGCTGGGTTCAGCTCCTCCAAAGCTACAGGGAAGCCTCACTCTAGTCCCACCCTTCCTTCATATCCCAAGACCAGCCAGCCTGGTGTGGGGTAGAAACAAGGCCCGGGAGTTCAATCAGAGCGCCTCACCACCTGCAGTACAGGTAACTGGGAGGGGAAGCCACGGAGAGCAGGAGGCGGCTGTCCAGCCCAGGTTAGCCCTTCACCCTGCTCACTGCTCAGCCACGTCTCTGGAGTGCCTGAAGTCCCCCAAGCCATCGCTCTGTCTATGAAGAGGCTCACAAGCCCAGCTGAGCTGAAAGCATATCGGGCGTGGTCCAGATCGAAGTGGCTCCTCAGAGCAGGTGACTGCCCCTGGCCCAGGTGAGCTTCAGGACCTGACCTTGGTCTGCTGCCCACACTAGGGCAGGTGCCTGAGTACCCTGCCGAGGCTGGCCCAGTGCCAGAACCACCTCTTCCAGTCCAAGCGGAGGCTTCTTCCCCACCTGCAGACCTTTGCCCCTTCTTCTGCCCAGACTCTCCCTTTCCCTCCGGCCAAGCCGATGAGGTCTTCAGCACCCAGACAGGTCACTGCATCGAATTCCTGCCAGGGCATCTGAGCTAGACTGTTCTCAAAGGGAGGGAGGGAGATGCGGTCACCACGGAGAACTTCCTGGGCCAGTTGGCCCATCCAGGTCCCTGACAGCCAAAAGCAGGGTCCTGTGGAGCATCCAGGAGCCTACCATGGCCGCCAGAGGCCAGGACTGCCAGGAGGAGTCACCGGCAGAGAGGGAGCTGAAGCTGCGGCGGGTGGTGGCTGCTGTGAGGCTGAGCCAGCAGCAGTCCTCTGCCGCAAGTGCTCCAGCAGGCGCGCGCTCACGGCCGGCTCCGGGACGCTGCAGGCCGGCAGCACGCGGGCCAGGCGCTCCAGGCAGGCTCGGTAGCCCTCGAGGTAGCTATCCAAAGCTCCTGTGTACAGAGAGCAAGCATGAGGCTCAGGTTCGGAGCACTGTGCAAGCTGCAGGGCACGCGCGGAGTGGGGAGTGGGTCACTCACCCGGCGCTGAGGCGGTGTAGACGGACGCCTCCTGCTCCTGCAGGAAGCGCACGGTCATTTCCAGGATGTCTGCCTTCTCCAGCTTCGCGGAGCGGGAAGTCTGCCAGGCCAGACAAGAGAGACAGCCCCATTACAGCCCGGGCTGAGCACCTCGCTCCTGCACCCAGACACTCTCCAGTCGCGTGGTGGTCTCTACCACTCCACGGCGCACATCCCACCTTAGCTCTTCGGATACCCACGGAGCCCCGCCTACCAGCCTCGCTGGGCGCCCCAAGACCCTCCGCCTTGGTTTTGCGAGCTCCCACTCACCTCCGCGCCCAAAAGGGGCAATACGAGCCCCTTTAGCTGGCTCAGGCTCTGGTTGATCCGCGCGCGCCGGCGCTTCTCTAGCAGTGGCTTCAGGCTCTGTGGGACGGCGGATGGGCGTAAAGGCCCCAGTTAGGAGGACCACGATCGCCTATCCCACCCTGCCAAGAGCCCCTGTCTCCCGCTCCTACCTTGCGCGGCTCCGCGGCATCTCCTACTCGCCTAGACAGCCTCATGCTCCGCGTGGAGGATCCTAGCCCCTGCTGCAACGCAGAGCAAAGAAGGAAGCCGGGAACCAAGTTCAAAGCCTAGCCCGAGCTCGCGCCAAAGACGAGCGCGCTGGATCAGCCGCCAGGCCTTCCGCAGGCTGTCACTGCTCCGCCCCGCCCTGCCAGCCGCCACTCCCACCTGCCGCCTTTGTCCCCGCGAGGATGGGACTGGAGAGGACGAGTCAGTGGTGTTCCCCAGGGATGCCACTCTGGCCTTCGAGTCCCATCTGCGGTGGGGTCGCGCGACCTGCGGGCGCTGACCCCTGGACAAGAAGAGCGGCTGGGGCTCCGCTCCCTGTGAATAAAACCTGTGGCCTTATTCACCACGCCCACTGCTGCGAGGTGCCTGGGCCTCCACAAGCGCTCCAGCGGCTGCAGAGCTGCCGACCCCCGGGACTCAGGGAGAGCCACCAAGGGTCAAAAGGAGAGATTTGCTTCACCAACTGCTCTGAGCTGGACACGGAAATCCTGCCCTGGTAAGGTCCGATCCTCCAGCCTACGGACCAGAGCCAGGCCCCCTGGCTCTACGCGCTCCGTAACCTCTAGGGCACTCCGCTGCCTTAAAAATCACCTGGCTCCCGTCCCTAGGTTGTGCAAGGGAAGCCTGAGCCCGCTCCCCAAGAAGAGGCAACCCAGGGTCGTCGGAGTTCATTTTTATTTGAACTGGCTCCGGGCTCCGGATCCCCCCCGTGGAGCAGTCGGAGGTCACATGGCAGGAGAGTGGGGGCGGTCCTGGGTGTGCCCCGGCTGCTCCCCTCGGCCCCAGCGGGCCCAGACACGCCTCCACAACGCGTGGCCGTTGCTGCTGCAAACCGGCGGGCGTCCCCCGCCCATCTGCCGCAGGCTCCTATCCCGGGTCGGCTGGCGGGGCAACCGAGGTCTGGCTCACCGGAGGCCCGCACAACCAGAGCCAGTAGGAGGCGCTCGTGCGGCGGAGCCTGGTTAGCCTCTGTCCAGGGTCCTGGAAGGACCTCGCCTTCCCGCCGTTCCCTTCGTTAGCCCCAAATCCTGGGAAGTGCTCCCCAGCGGGCATTCGAGAGCGATGGAGGAGGGGGGAACCCGGAGGGGGGGCCAGGGCAGCCTCGGCAGGAGAGCTCCGCCTGCCTGTTTCTAAGGCATACAAGGACCCATTCTCACCGCCAGGGAGTTAATTTGCTCAAGCTCACAGCTTGCTGTTTTTTTGACCTTCACTCCTCACTTCCGCCAACCCAACAGTCCTAGTTATGAGAATTTCCCCAGCAGGCCTTGGGGCTGCCTGATTAGGTATGTCTGTGGGCTAGCCCCTTACTACGAAGACCAGGCTGACTTTGAACTCACAAAGATTAGCCTGCCTCTGCCTCCCGAGTACTGGGTTTAAAGAACTGTGTCACCACATTCAGTCATTAATTATTTTTTAAGAGCTCAGAAAACACTTTGTAGGGCTCAGTGGTTAAGAGCAAGCATTGCGGCTGAGGTAAGTGGTTAAACAGAAGCCCTCCTGGGTTTGGTTCCCAGCTCCCGGAAGCTCCAGTACTGTAACTCCAGTTCTGAGGGGTCTGCTGCCCTCTTCTGGATTTCTCGGGTGTGACAGTCAGGCACAAACCCACACACGACACACAGCAGCAAAGTAAAAGCTCATTTTTAAAAAGGACTTTGTAGACGGGGGATGGTGCACGAGCCTTTAATCCCAGCACTTGAGTGGCGGGGGCAGGGGGATCTCCAAATTCAGTCTGGTCTACCCAGTGAGTTCCAGGACAGCAGCGCCACACACAGGAACTCTGTCTTGGAAAACAAACAAAACCCAAAACAACAACAAACTTCGGAGTCCCCTGCCCAGCCAGCTCAGTTCAGTGTCCCAAGCCCACCCCACACTGATCAGATCCCTGGGGAGAGGCTGATACTAGCCCCTCAGGTGACGGGGTGGGAACATCCCTTTCTAGGGCTGGAGACTATTTGCAGGACTTTCGTGGCAAAGGCACAGGGGCGTAGAAGCCAAGTCCGGCATCTTAGTTTGGATGCCCCTGCCGCTTACTGGCCGTTAGGGCACCCGCTTGTCTGAATATACTGATGTTCTTAGCTTCAGGAAGTACCAAGCGGCCATAGCTATGGTGCTGTAAGGAATCTGGAAACCTCTGAAAAGAAAACACAGGTCGCTGTAACCGCAGGTCCTACGGAGGAATGAAGCCTTTCCAGCTAGGCGGAAGTGATTGAAAGCTCAACTGAGCATGCAGTGAACTGTGGCAAAGTTTGAGTTCTGGCGGCCACCGGACATGGCACCACGAGGTGGTAAAAACGTGAATGGTATCTGAGACGCCCCGGGACCCACTCTGGGATTCTGGGTTCTGCAAACAGCTTCCGTCCACAAGAGTTCCAGCACCGCCCAGGCTGGCAGGAGCTAGGACCCGGCGGAAGCGGATGCCGGAGAACGGGGTTGGCTCTCACAGACCTCCGCTGAGCGTGGGAGAGGAGAAAGTGCGCGAGCTGTTTCAAGGTTTGCCCGATATGCTTGCTGTGCTCCCACAGGTCACACCTCCTCCTTTCTGGGAGCCTTCACTCTAGTCCAGCAGGCCTGCCTCCTCCGGTGCCCTTGACCTGTTTCCAGCTACGCCCCTTAAGGTGGTTTGACTGCCCGGACCCTCCAGCGCTTCCCAGTGTCCTTGCTCACGATGGGGATACCCCGTCTCTAGAGGAAGGCACCACAGCACCTCCCCACTGGCCCCCACCCCTCACACCCTTCATTTCTTCTCTCTTGGCTTGGCAGTCTCGGGTCTGCAGGTCCAGTCTCCCGTCCCCCACACCAGCCTGGGTGATCAGAATCTTCAAAATCCTGGTCCAAACACTTCTAAACCCACCAGGACACTCTTGTTCTCACTTCCTTCCATGGGAAGGGGCGGGGGGGGGCGGTGCACGCCTGTAATCCCAGCACTCAGGGAAGCAGAGGCAGGCAGATCTCTGTGAGTTTAAGGCCAGCCTGGTCTACAAAGTGAGTCCAGGACAGTCAAGGATACACAGAGAAACCCTTTCTTGACAAACAAAACAACAAGAAGAACAAAAACAAGAACAAGAAGAAGAACAAGAAAAAGAGAAAAAAGAAATGGATCGGATGAGTTTTGAGGATTTGTTTTCGATCGTTTTATTTATTCTTCAGGGCCATTGCTACAGTGGGCGTGCGCAGTCAGAAGAACGCTGTGGGAGCTGCTTCCCGCCACTCGGGTCCCAGGGGTGGAATTTAGGTTGTCAGGCTTGACAGCGGACACCTTTACCCGATCATTTTGCTGGTTCCAGCCTTTCGTTGTCTTTCTGCCTTCTGCCTTCTTTTTGTGGGTCTAGACTCTAGTCTCTAGAAGGACCTTGGAGTCTGAGCACTGGGCACTGGGGCATCCGGCACTTGGTGGGATTTTTTTTTAAGCTTCTGGGCAGTGGCGTCCAGTTCCTGTCTCTCTGTCTCTGTCTCTCTGTCTCTCTCGACTGTCTTCTTACCAATCAGACCAGCACCGGGCACCTTCTTGACGCCTATGACAAAACCTTTCCTATCTCCCGCTTGCCAGGTTCTAGTGACACTTATCGCTCCTTGCAGCTGCCATCCCTTGTTGGCTTGTGTCCCCAGCACCTGAAACAACACATAGTGGCCACTGGGCAGCTGGGCGAGCGCGTCTGCGTCTGGATGCTGCTAGATACCTGTTCCGTTTCTGTGTGCGCACCAACCCTTGTCGCCCGCGGGGAATGGGGGAGGGCTCAGGGCAGGGGAGGCGGGGTAGAGAGGAGGCGGGGCGGGGGCGGGTCCCAGGCTTAAGCGGGGACTCGCGGGGTCCCCGCCTCAGAGAGCTGCCGAGCTGGAGTTGAGTCCCAGGGACCGCAGAGCGGGCGCCAGCGGGCCTCAGCTCTGCCTCCCGGGTCCGCACTCCTCCGACGGCTGCGCCGCGGGACTCCTGGAGCCCGGGGCCACCCTCATGACGCCCGGGGGAAGCCACTGAGCGCCGGCTCGCGGCGCCGAGGGCCGCACCATGGCCCTGGAGCAGGCTCTGCAGGCGGCACGGCGGGGCGACCTGGGCGTGCTGAGATCCCTGCACGCCGCCGGCCTGCTGGGGCCTTCTCTGCGGGACCCGCTGGACGCCCTGCCGGTGCACCACGCGGCCCGCTCTGGCAAGCTGCACTGTCTGCGCTACCTGGTGGAGGAGGCTGCCCTCCCGGCCGCGGCCCGTGCGCGCAACGGCGCCACACCCGCGCACGACGCCGCCGCCACAGGGTACCTCTCCTGCTTGCAGTGGCTGCTCACGCAGGGCGGTTGCCGAGTGCAGGTGAGTCCACTCCAAGAGACGGTTTGGGCCCAAAGAGGACTCCAGTCCTCAAGGATGGTTGGAATAGACGCGGTCTTGGCTCCGCTGGGCTCTGCGCGCTTCACTTTGCAGTGGGCTTTAGATAAGGTGGGTTCTTGAGGCTGAGGGCTTGGGTAGATCCCTGGTTGCGTGATATCAAGGGAACCCGAGGGGAGCCGGACTCCTGGGGCAGGTATCGACTAGGGCAGGCAAAACGCGGATCCTGGAGGGAGTGGCCTAGGATGGAGGAAGTAGGGGCAAGCGATCGGCCTTGGCTGCCAAATTAGAAGCCCATGGCCTCCGGGTTCAGGTCTGGAGGAAGAGTGCACAGGGTCTCCAAATCTCACCCCAGGCCAAGACGCAGGTACCACTGAGTCGGGGGCAAAGATTCTAGGTCAAGAGGTGGTAGAGCTCTCCCTAGGGCATAGGTGGACCCGAGGACACTAGCCACGTTGGACCTTCCAGCTCTAAGTCACCTCAGCCCAACCAGGATCTTTGTGCCTGGAATAAACCGCTCTGAGGAGTGACCTGCCAGGGTAGTTCTGACTGGTGAGTGGATCAGATTGTCCTCACAACAGAGAACCAGAAGGAAAAGGCCCTGAGGTGTGCACCTTCCTGTCCGGGAGGAGCCAGGCTAGAGTGATGGAGAGGAGTGGGGTGGGAGGGCCCAGCCTAGAGGGTCTCCTTGGCTGAGATAAGGAATTGGGATGATATTCTGATTGCCTGAACAGCCAACTGAGACAGGGAGCATATCTGATTTCTGGATGGCAGAGACCACTGAGTGGCTCACATATGTAAGCATAGCCCTTGGGATACTGAGGCAGGAGGATTGCTGTGAGTTTTAAGTCAGCCTGGGCTACAAAGTGAGACCCTGTCTTTAAAAAACCAAAACCATCCAACCAACCAAACAAACAATAACAGACCTCTGGGTTAACTGCCCATCAAAGGGGTGAGGGCCAGCTCCAGTCTAGTCTGCAGCGACCTAGCAAAATCCAATACAGCTCCCACTCCTGTCCTCAGAAGGCAAGCCCCACCTTCCCATCTTTCTGGAAGATTCTCTTATTCCCTTATCTCCTGGCCTTGATATCAGGAGTTCCTGGCCATGTGGCTTACAGCCTTGTGGTCCATGCCTCCTCCCTTCAGGGAGGTGCCTGCCTCCCTCCCTGATTCCAAGCCCAGCACTGGCCAGAAGACCCCCTTATCGATGCAGAGGAGGGAGAAGAACAAGTAGTCTTGTGCCCAATTATCAGTTCCTCTATCCTCTACCCCCAGAAGTGGGGGGAGGGTGGCCTCGATCTATGGGCCTATCTGCCCCAGAGATAAACAGCTTAGGATGTGGGCCCCATCACACAAGGCTCCAGGGCCTACCCAGCCGTGGTACCTTAAACATAGGCCACTGACTTCGTGTTGCCATCGTTATCCAGAAGTCCTAAGCTGTGGAGATGCCCTAACGCCTCAGGCCAGTATCCCCAAGCACAGTGGAGACAGGCCTGTCTCAGGAGCTGAGGTACCAGCCTTTCATCATTGTGGCCTTACTTAGGTCACCTCTGGCCAGCTCATGCTGGCCAGCCCAGCTCAGGGGAACAAACTGGATAACCCTGCACACACCTGCAATACACAGTAAGGCGCTCTGGTGTCGTCCTTAGTCCCTTATGTGCCATTGGCTCTCTGTCCCATGATTCTCTCTGCCTCCACAGCCTGACTGATGACATGCCAGTCCCTTGTGTCCTTTTCTCCTTTCAGGAGGTTCTGAAGTAGGTCTTCCTGCTGAGACTCACTTACCTCAGGGTCTCTGTGCCTTGGCCACATGTGTCTCCCTGCAAGGAGGGGAAGAGAGACCTGGCTTCCCAGGCACCTCTCACAACAGCTAGGTGCTTTCTTCTAATCCTGCCCACCCCTGGGGTCTGTGTGCTTGATGCTGAGAGAGAGGTTGTCAGCTTCTGGAGTAATGCCTCTTTAAAAATGCAGAAGCCTTGGTCTAGAGATCTGGGGTCTCAGTGATTCTCCCCCTGCCCACCAACAGCCTTCTCAGCCCCTTCCCCAAAGAGAGACACAGCAGGAGTATGTGAGGAGCAAGTCTGGGCCCAGAGGGTGTCTGCAGGGGTTTTACCTAGCCTCTCAAGGATTCTGCCACTAGTACACACCTACGCATTGGCTGCCCCAAGCCCTGCCCGCCAGCGGCCAGCAACCTCCTCCTCCACATGACTAGGACACAGCTTGTTCCTGAAGCTGTGTGCAGGGCAGTCTACAGAAGGGCAGCTTCTAGCATGGGGGTTGGGCTGTTGGCGGCACACTAAGTGGAAGCTTCTGTCCCTCCCAAGGGACACCTGGGAATGAGGAAGAAGAGGAGCAAGGGTTGGAGGTAGGGAGAGTCCTAACGCTGGCCTGACGGAGTCTCAGCTAGCCACCACTCCTGGCCTTGCTCAGCCCAGCAATGCATTCATTCGCTCAGGTGTTTCCTGGGTGCCAGGCACGTTCCTGCACTCCTGCTATGTTCTGGGAGCCTCTCCACTGGCAGCTCTCCACATGCCTGAAGGCCTCCCAAAGCCCCACATCACGCTACTGCCTATGACCTGAGGGTCTGTTTCACCCCAAAAGCATGCTAAGCTAGGCATGACCATTCCCTCACGGGTGGGTAAAGCAGGTGGACCTGCTGCAGCCTGGAGGAGGCCGGCAGCGGGGAGTACCTGGGAAGAACGACAGATACAGGGCTCTAACCAGCTCTCTTGCCACAGGAAAAAGATAATTCTGGTGCCACAGTCCTGCATCTAGCTGCCCGCTTTGGCCACCCAGACATAGTGAACTGGCTGCTGCTGCATGGTGGTGCAAATTCTGCCATCACCACAGAAACCGGTGCCCTGCCTCTCCACTACGCTGCCGCCAAAGGAGACCTTCCCTCCGTGAAGCTTCTTGTTGAATATCACCCTGAGTAAGGACCTTCTTTTGTGTTGTTGTTTTGTGTTGGGGCGGGGGAGTTAGATCCAGGACCTTGCTCACGCAGGAAGCCCACCATTGAGCCACACTTCCAGGCAAGGTCCTTCCTCTTGTTTATTTTTTGAAACAGGACAGGATCTTATGTAGCTCAGGCTGGTCTCGAAATGGTTAAGGAAAGGATTTGGGCTTGGATTCTATATTTAATCTTTTTTCTTTTCTTCCTTTGTTTGTTTGTCATGACACACAGGACTTTGCTTGGCCTGGAACTCACTATGTAAACCAGGCTGTCCTAAAATTCACAGAGACCTGCCTGCCTCTGCCTCCTGAATGACTACCATGCCCAGCCTAAGGTGTCTTGATCTTTCTGCCTGCCACCTCCCAAAGGCTGACATTGCAGGCCTGTGGTACCACACAGGCTTTAGGGGGTTCCTTTAAGGAGGCCTGTAGAGGCCAGTGCTCCCAGGAGTGCCGGGGGCTGCCACAGTCTCCACGGTGGCTGCTTCAGTGACCATCTGGGGGTTCCGAGGCCCAGGCCTAAGTCAGATTTGGCCAAAGTGAAACTTCTCTCTTCCACACAGCCTGTCAAGGGCCACAGCCTGTCTCAGACTCTGCAAGCAGGAGCTCCACACTCCCTCGGCATGCAGCGCACAGGGCACGGCCATGGGCTTGCAAGGCCACTGGCTGCAGCAGGAGGCCTCCCCAGCTCAGAAATGCTCCATGCTCATTTCTAAGGCCTCTTTACGTGGGACAATGGGTCAGGAGTACCTCCTAACCCTGAGTTAGGCAGGTAGAGGAGGGACCATGTCAGCTGCCAAGCACGTAGGAGAGAGCCACCCTTTAGCCCCACGATCCCTCATAGCCCCAGGGCCATGGGCAGGCCACCTCCAGGAAATCTCCCAGTTCTGTGGCCTCTCAACCCATTCCTGCCACTGGTGGAGCAGCTTCTAAACCCTCCCGGGACACTGGTCTAAATGGCTGGGCGCTCCTGGGATGGAGTGGGGACACAGCAGAGCAGAGTGACACATGAATCTGGGGAAGGAGGCAGCCAGGGTGGAGATGGGGGCCTCAGAGAAAGGACATAGATTCCTCCTGAAGGTGTGAGATATAAGCAGCCACCAGCTGGAGCTGAGGGCCTGGGCTCTGACCAGTGTCTGTCTAAGTGTGTGGACTCAGCCTCAGGAGGAGAACAGCAGCAAGGTGAGAGGGTTAGGCCATCAGTGAGCCATTCCTCAAATTGCCTCAGAGCCACTGTCCACTAGGGAGCAGGCTGGAGGCCATGCCAATGGCATAGGACAGACACTGGTGTGGACACAGGTCAGCTCTCAGACCTAGAAGACCAGGTGCCAGCTGTCTCCTTGGCTCCGGACAGGCTGAGACTCTTGTTGGATCCTTCAGTTTAGGGCCTGGCGATGCCTGTGGCACGTCCTCAGCCCCCGGGCTATGGTTCTGATATGCCCATCTCACCCCCTCACTCTGAGCCCAGAATAGACTTCCTAAGATGACTGGCCATGAGGAATGGAAGCTCTCCTGCTTTCACCAGCCTTTCTTCCAAACACGGTGTACACGGTGTAGCTAGAGGGGCAGGCTGCTGGCCACATCACAGAGAGGGCTGTAGGCCTGTTCTTCCTTCAGGTTCTACTGAGAACTGCTAAATGGCTGGACTTTGCTTGGCCCCACCTGAGAGGAAAGCCCAGTAATGACAAGCCCAGAGTCCTCTGTGGGCTGAGATTTCCATGTGTATGAAGACTCCAGCCCTGCCATGCAACACACATGACCACACAGGTGTCTATTGGCACCCTGACCCCTCCCAGTCAGTGCCATGGGCTAAGTAGGACTGGGTCCTAGTTCTGACTGTGCCAATGACCTCACTGTGGAGTTGCCAGGATGCCCAGGAGTCACCATGAATCTTGGAGAGTTAGACTGAGGATCTGGGCTCCCAACCCTGGGTTGTGACCAGGCTGATAGGAGGGTCCCTTTATATGCATGCCAGGCTGAGCTTGGGTAGGAGGGGAGTTGGAAATTGGGGTCAGGAGCTGGGTGAGGTGGTGCACGCCTTTCACCCCAGCACTCAGGAAGCAGAGGCAGGAGGATCTCCGTGAGGTTGAGACCAGCCTGGTCTACAAAGTGAGTCTAGGACAGCCAAGGCTACACAGAGAAACTCTGTCTCAAAAAACCAAAAAGAAAAAAGAAATTGGGGTCAGGGGTTGGTGTGCCCATGTAACCTCCAGGACCACAGGGCCCAGTTGGAGGACCCTACGGCCTCGCTCGGAAGCTGTGGCTGCGTGCTCTCTTCAGCCTCCCAGGCCTGCTGTGAAGCACTGTGAATTATTTACAAGGGCTCAGCTCTCTCTGATGCATTGGTGAGGGAGGAAGGGTGCCACCCCTACCCGTGGGAAACTTGATCCTGCCCAGGGAGGCTGTGGGTGACTATGGGCCATGGTGCTGACAGGTTGCAGAGGAGATGGGTGGCTGGGCAGCCTGGGGAAGGGCCTTGCTAAGGCAGGTCAATGCCTCAGGGCACTGCACAGGGCTTGAGGTTGCAGGAACACACTGTCCTTTTTCTTTCCTCTAGTCTACCCCGGTTCATTGGACTGAATCTTTCCAGAAACAGGGCTTACCACAGAACACCTCCCTCCAGCTCAGGCGGGGTCAGGGTGTGGGGGCTTCCCTCTATGCACCCGGCAGAAAAGGGACCCCTAATCTGGGAGGCCTGGGGGCTGTGTCTGAGAGAGATGAAGATGGGTTGGTTACAGAAGTAACTCGCCATAAACATGGTGCCTGCATCTCTAGCTGGGGCGCCTGAGGAGGGTCAGGAAGGCGGCAGACCTCTTTGCTTCTAAGCAGCTTCGAACAGGGTCCTTTCGTCCAAGAGGCCACCCACCTCACCCCAACCCAGCCCTGTCCTGAATGCCTCTGTCATGACTGCTTTGGGCTGCTGGAGAGGAGCCCTGGGCTCAACCCAGCTTTGAGACTGGAGAGGGGGAAGGTTCTGAGGGTCTCCCTCCCAGATTGACTAGCCCTTATCATGTCTTGACAGAAGTCTACATGTCTCTGAGTGTTTTCTTCTGGTTAGACCCATGACTAATAAAGCTACAGGCTTTATCTTCCTCACTGTGTGTGCCCAGTGCCTGGCTCGAAGCTGGGCCTTTGTTTGTTGATTGATGAGGGGTCTGGAATCCGAGGTGTGTGCCTGGTAACAGGGTACTGCCTATGACCTTAGACGGAACACCCCTTCTGCATCTCCCGCTCTGCCTGAGCGGCTGAGGCCATGGTGTGCAGAGCTCACTTACACACTTACTCAGTCCAAACTCTGCCAGCCCAGCAGCACTGGGGATGGAGTCCTCCCAGCAAACAAAGAAGGGGATAGGTTGAGAGAAACCCCACCCCCAATTTAGATGACTGCTCTTCCACCTGAGAGCATTGGTTTGCAGGCCGGGCCTCGGGGGAGGAGGAGCATGTAGCAGCTCTACCCTATGCATACGCATTCACAGAATGAACCAAACAAAAGAGCAAGAGAATTCAAGAGTAATAACTGTCACGTAGTGAAACTGGACTGTTTGGTAGGAAGCCATGAGGTGCCCTTTAAGTTGAGGGCATGGGAAAGGCCTTTCTGGTGATGTCTAAGTAAGAGGTGATCATCTGCACACAGCTCCGCTGTGAGGGCGTGGGAGTCAAGCGGAGGCTGGGGAGATGCAAGCTCTGGGAACATCATGATGTAGGCATTGTTTCCGCTGCTGTGATAAAATATCTGGGAAAAGCAACTTACAGAAGGATTGGACTCCAGTTCAATGGAAGACACAGTCCATTCGTTACTGGGGGGCAGGCAAGTCAGTGGGAACAGGAGGTACCATTGGGTCCATAGTCCGAAAGCAGAGAGAGAGCTGGGGTGCCCAGCTGGCTCCCTCCATTCTTCCCATTTCAAACAGCCCAGGCCCCCAGACCAGGGCATCACTTCCCCACACCAAGGTGGGTCTTCCCCCCTCAGGGAAACCTCACCTCTCCCCCATAGGTATCTCCCGGGCGATTCTAAATCCAGGCGGCCTGACAATGAAGATGAACAAGGCTTGCTGGTGAGCGGGGATGCCAGTGAACAGGTCGAGAACCTTCCTTAGAACAATGCTGTGGCTTTTTTTCTCCCAAACTCTTGGCATAAATAGGAGTTGTAATTGACAGATACTGTGTGTGTGAGGCCTCTTCCTGACCTCCCTTAAGGCAGATGTTGCTGGCAGAAGGAGAGTAAGAAATTTTACTGCTGACCATAGCCTGACACGGTGGGCAATGAAAACCCCTTTTCCCTTGTGGCAGCATTAGCTGTAAGCAGCATAAATCTGAACAGATTTCTCAGAATGTAGTCAGATGTGGACTACATTCCTTTTTCTAATGGAGTGGTTTCCATGATAGTCATTGTTTGTTCATATCACCCTTTTTCCCCAGAAGGGAGGTGATAAATTACACAGGATCTAAGATCATGGAGCGGGCAGCTTACAGCAGCAGAAGGCCTAGGAGCAGGGTTTTCAAACTCCAGAGTTTGGGCTCCAGAAGATGGGTAGTGGCGCAGGAGAGAGATGTCTCTGTGGTTAAGAGCAAGGCTGCTCTTGCAGAGGACCTGGGTTCCCTACACCCACATGGCAGTTCTCAACCACCCATGATGTGCGTTCCAGTGCACCTGATTCCCTCTTCCGCCCTCTGTGGGTACCTGCACCACACCATGCACACACAAACATTTGAGCCCTCACACATACACATAAAATAAAAACATTTAAAGAAGAAGAAGAAGGGAAGCTGGGTGCAGTGGTGCACGCCTGTAGTCCCAGTGCTCCGGGAGGCAGAGACCGGCTGATTTCTGTGAGTTCGAGGCCAGCCTGGTCTACAGAGCAAGCTCCAGGACAGCCAAAGCTTCACAGAGAAACCCTGTCTCAAAAAGCCAAAAGCCAAAATAAAAAGGGGGAGGGGGAGCTGGAGAGATGGCTCAGAGATTAAGAGCGCTGGCTGCTCTTCCAAAGGTCCTGAGTTCAATTCCTAGCAATCACATGGTGGCTCACAACCATCTATAATGAGATCTGGTGCCCTCTTCTGGAGTTCAGGCATACATGCAGGCAGAACACTATACATATAAATAAATAAGTCTTAGAAAGAAAGGAAGGAAGGGAGGGAGGAAAGAAGGAAGGAAGAAAAAAAGAAGAAAGAGAAGAAGGAGAGTAGGGTCATAGTGAGGTTCCGTGGTAGAGTGCTTGCCTGGCATGCATGAAGCCCTGGGGTCCACCCCCAGCACCACATAAACTGAGTGGTGGAAAAGACCTGTGATCCCGGAACTCAGAAGGTAAAGGCAGGAGGATCAAAAGTTCAAGGGCCATCCTTAGCTCCACAGTGAGTCCTAGGTCAGTCTGGGCTGTATGAAGCTGTCTCAGGAGAGACAGGGAGGACAGGCTGTCCTTTCCCAACTGTCCTTTCCCAACATGACTGGAATGTTGAGAATTCAGACAAGGGGACACTGCAACCCAGCTGGAGGGAGGTACCTGGTCCTCCTCAGCCCTTGTCATGCCCCCAGGCCCATGCATACTTGAGCTCATTAGTAAACTGGTTCCAGGAGAAAGGTAGAGAGAGGTCTGTGTGCAGAGGGAGACAGACAGACAATCAGATAAGAATGGTGTGGACCCAACAAAGCTGCAGGTGCAAGTTCTCTCTCTCTCTTCTCTCTCTCCTCTCTTCTCCTCTCCCTCCCACCTCAGGCTCACATCATAGCTTTGTCTATTTTGAATAAAATCAGTTTCCTCATTAGAAAAAGAGGAACAGTGATAAAATCCACCCTTAAGACCACGAAAAGGACTGGATGGGACCAGGTGTGAAACTGGCCAATTGCTGGGCTAGGAATGACTAACTGGTCAACTAGAAGGACCTATTATCAGCCAGGAATCTTTTTTTTTTTTTTTTTTTTTTTTTAAGATGGGGTCTCTTTCTGTGGCTCTGGCTGGCCCAGAACTCACTATGTAGACCAGGCTGGCCTCCCTTCTTATGCCTCTCCACAGCATTGTGGTTTTTCTCCAGTGACTCTGAGGAGCCTGCACTTCTTAGCTCCACGCCAAGCACAGAGAGACCTGGCTGCCCTGTGTCCTGGGCTTCCCACTCCTCAATAGTAGTCTTGAGGGCAGAAGCTGACATGCTAGTAATAATGGGGACCTTTACACCATGCCAAGACCCTGCTGGGGGTGGCAGCCAGCGGTGACAGCAGGACGTGAGCGCCAATGCCCTCTGTTGCCTGGTTCCTTCTAGGTGGCTGGGAGCCCCTAGATGATGGTCACCTGCCAGCTAGAAGGCGCTGGAAGAGCAAGGCTCACTGGCTTTCTTTGTTGTGTGAACTGCCTTGCCCCAGCCTGAAACCCCAACAAGCCCGGGGGGTCCCCCACGCCCTCCTGCCTCCAAGCCCAGGACCTCCAGCACTCACTGTGCCTTGGTTACAGGGTGAATAATTCAGGCTGCTGAGTGTCAGTCATGAAATATTCAGCAGGCTGTTCCCAACACACCGGTGTGTGGGGGCGATGCTGGCACCGGGACTGCAGTCTGGGGCCATGAGCCAGCAGGTTCTGAGGAGAAGCCGGTCTTTCGCCCGCTCTGTACTGTCCAGGTTTTTAGATAGTTTCACTATGTAGTAGAGATTCTCATCCTCCTGTCTCAGCCTTCCAAGTGCTGGGATCATAGAAGTGTGCCGGGATGCTTGGTGTGCGAGGGCGCGGGCGTGCATGTCGTAGGCATGTACGTGTTGCCAAGGCTGGACCCCAGAGCATTTCACATGCTATGAAGGCATTGCAACGCTGAGCTACAACCCAGACCTCACTTTGCTCTTGACATGGGTGGCACGCTGAAGGACAACCTGCAGGGGAAAGGCTCCAGGGTCGGGGATGTACCAGGGCTGCCAGGAGATGGTTGGTAAGGAGAGGAAGGCATGTTTGTCTGGGCAGGAGCAGGGACCTAAATTGTGGTGACATAGAGGGGGACATGCAGGCCGTTGGGCGAATGAGAACGGGGCCCGATGGGCCAGATTGAAAGTGTAGTTTTTTTAGCTAGAGAGAATAACTTGGGAGGGAATATTAAAAACTGGTGAGCCCCCACGACACCAGGCCCTATCACAGTAACAGGATAGACACCTAACGCGTTTGTAGACTTCAATGAGCAGGAGCTGAGTCTGGAGAAGTGTGTGGCTCCTCCCAGTGTCCATTGCTGGTAACTGCATGCCGGACTGTGCAAAACCCAATCAGCCTAGTAGCCAGCATGGCTTCAGTGTTCAATTTCATCATCCCTCCTGTGGGGCTGGATCCGGGTTACCCAGTTAGGACACTGCTGGGCTGGGGAAGCCACATGAAGAGTCGTAGCAATAGTCAAAGCTAGACCATAATAGAAACCACTGAGACCAGACATCTTCCCCTTCTCGAACCTGCATGCCTACCGTGGGCCACACCCACAGGTACTGCACCCCACAGACACACGCATGTGCCTATCACACTTACCAGCTGTGTGAAAGTCCCTAGTCCAATTACCCTTCCTCAAAGTGGGAATAACAACAGGACTTAAGAAATACTTGTCGGGGGCTGGAGAGAGGGCTCAGAGGTTAAGAACACTGTCTGTCCTTCCAAAGGTCCTGAGTTCAATTCCCAAGACACATAGTGGCGCACAGCCATCTATACTGAGATCTGGTGCCCTCTTCCAGAGCGCAGGCACACACGCAGGAAGAATGTTGTATAAATAATAAATAAATACATCTAGAAAGAAAGAAGGGAAGAAAGAAAGACTTGTCTGGCTGCTCTTGCAGAGGACCCGTGCCCACAGGGAGGCTTGCAACCATCTGTAAGTTCAGTTCTAGAGAATCTGATCTAGAGAATCTTTTGACCTCTGTGGTAGACACACATATATGTAAGCAAAACATTCACATACACAAAATAAAATAAATAAACCTCTTAAAACACTAAAAAGAGCGAGGCAGGGTGGAACATGACTTTAATCCCAGCATTCAGAAGGCAGAGGCAGGTGGACCTCTGAGTTGACAGAGAAAGTTGCCAGGCAGCCAGGGCTATACAGGACCAAAAAACCCTGCTTCTAAATGAAATAAAACAAAGTAAACCTAACTATAGTTAGTTAGTTAATTAGTTATTTAGTTAAAAAGAAAGAAGGACAAACCTCCTAGTACCATACTCCCGGATAAGTGCCCAGTATATGGTGAATGTGTGGCTGCCAGACTAACACCGAAACTCAGGGTGTTGGAGAGATGGCTCAGTGGCTCCTGCAGAGGATCCAAGTTTTGGGTTCGTAGATCACCTGCAATTCTAACTCTATGAGAATCTTACACCTCTGGCTTCCACAGGCACCTGTAGGCACCTGTACTCACATATGCAAACCCACACAAAGAGACACATACAAACAGCATATACAAAAACACACATAAAACATCGGTCACGCGAAATCCAGGATGCAGGACTTAACGTGTGCACTGGATGTCCATCTGAAGGTCAAGTTTAACTGGCCATTCTGCGTTTTAGCTGGAAACCTCCAGCCCTCCTTCGAGAAAACCAGTCTCCTGGGGCGAGGCCCAGGCCAGGAGCAATGATAGCTGACCAAATATGCCAGACCACCTGAGGAACTGGCCCAAGGTGGGAGGGGCCTCCGAGGGCATGAGGAGAAAGGACAGGCGGGTTTCAGGAGGAAAGGCTGGGGCTTTGTAAATGGGGAGACACCTGAGAAAAGCACAGAGTTCAGACAGCAAGAGTGGGGGCTCACAGTGACCACAAGTCACTGAGAAGGTAGGAGAGACCAGGCCATCACGTCCTGTAGACACTGATCAAGGGTGGGTCTGAGGCTTCTGAGATGGTTCAAAGGGTCAAGGTGTTTGCAGCTGAGTGGGATGACCTAAGTTCCATCCCCAGCAACAACATGGTTAAAGGAGAGAAACAACTGGCTCCCAAAAGCTGTCCTCTGACCTCCTAGTACCCATGCCTGCTAGGCACACACACACATACATAGCTAAAATTTATGAGAAAAGAGTCTATTTTCAATAAAAGGGAAAAAATAAAATCAATAAATATAAATAAATAAAATTTAAAATAATCTTTAGTTGAGCATGGTGCTGCCTGCCTTTAATCCCAACACACTCAAGAGTCAGAGGCAAGCAGATCTCTGTGAGTTTCGAGGCCAGCCTGGTCTACAAAGTGAAGGACAGCCAGGGCTACATAAAGAGACCCTGTCTTAAAAAAAGGAAGGAAGGAAGGAAGGAAGGAAGGAAGGAAGGAAGGAAGGAAGG